GACTAGTTGCCCCGCTATCTACTAAAAGACAATTACTGACATGACACACATTATCACAATCACCATTAACACTCACTTTAAACATAAAAGTATGTTCATCCTTGTCTTTATTTTCTTCTGTATGGTCTTCTGCATTCTTTGTTGAGTCCCACTTTCCCGAGTTGTTGCGGCAGTCTTTGGTCTCGTGCGTCTTGGTTTTACAGATGGAACACCACTTCCCATTTTTCACGGACTTTGTCCAACATTCGGATTTGCGATGTCCCTTCTTTCCACACTTGAAACACGAACCGTCAAACTTGCTTTTGAATGCCATGACGCTTTCCTCTGTCTCTGTATTTTGGCTCTTTTCTCTCTCTTTGTGGTTTCTTAAGGCAACCTTGAACTCTTCGAACGTCACTTGCTTGTCACGCTGAATTACAATCGCCGAGAATGTCTTGAAGTTGTTCGGTAACCCTTTTAGGACCCTTTTAGAAGCGGATCGCTCACAACTTCGTTTGCGTTTTTCAAGGCAGTGGCTGCGGTCTCAGCCCTTATCACTAGTCGACAATGCTTTCCTTGTCAGTCTTCTTTAGTGTGGTCAGTTCGGTGTACAGCGATATGACACAAGGTTTTCCCTTTCCTTGGTAGTATTGTCGCAGTATCTTGAGCGCTTCTGGTCCGTCGTTTCTAGCTTCTCGTATAACCAGGGATAGACTTCTGTCGTCTAAAAATTGAAATAACTCCGCGAATGCGTCAGCTTTCTTCGCCTCGCTCGGTGCGTTTTCTTCGTAATCGTCGACGAACACATTATACAACTTTTGAAGCCTCATTTGCACTAGGAACTTCACTTCCCACAGCTCGTACTTTGTTTCATCGCCGTTGAATAATATTGCCTGCCTGGGCCCATAACCTGTTGGATTTGAGGCTGTTGTCATCTTCTCGATCTGATCAACACACACCGCATATAACTTTTATAATGTCCTTTATTATTTCTCCCACATTTAGACACTACGGGTACAAGACATCTACTAATACACACACACAGGACGATACCATTATTTACATAATGTACGCTAATCTATGATTGGTCAGATCTCGACCACATTTCTCTTTGTTCTTTGTTCCAACATAACAATTTTTCTTTGTATCTATTAACAGTGTTTCCTTATTTAAAACATTAACACATACATTGACTGACATATTGCATGACGTATTGACACATTACATGACTGACATAAGAGCACAGCCTAACATGGTTTACTTATTAGCATTGATGTTTGCTATCATGAAAACAACATAGACCAAACTCAAAAGATTGACACTGCCAGGAATATAATTTTTCCCCACACAAGTTAAGAAAAAATGATAAAATTTGGGTATATAACATTGCATTGACTGTTTGTACCACATGTTTTGATGGATTTATTGTCTCAGAGGCTTTGGTAATCAGTTTATACTATAGTCCAACTCGAAAGGCCCAAAACGAAATTGTTTATAGTAAAAAAGTTGAAAAACGGCTTACCTCAGTCACCTGGATGTTAAAAAATAATAGCAAAATGAGAAAATTCACCCTACCGATAAGTGAATTAAGGCATTCATAACGTCAGACGCCGAGCATGAAGCTATGTGTCCTTTCCATTTGTTGAACAGGGAAAAAGAGAAACACTTTTATCCATTTTATATGAAAAACAAAAAATATATACGGAAAGCTGAAAATATTTTCATAAAATCCAGGAGAGAGACGGACTGAATTTCTCACTTTGTATCGCGGTATGTCAGTGGTAACTACCATGAGCAAAAGGAACCAAGTGGCGTCAGCAAACGCCGAAATCCGCCATGTTTTTTGCTTCACTTTCTGGTCAAGAACCGGTCCTCCAGGAATTATTATATAGCTCAGTGTGTTGATCCCCTTCATCGTGATTGGCTCTTTTGCACTAAAAGAATGTTGCGGGCAATAATTTTACTGCGGGTCACTGACAACAAACATGGCAACTGGTAAAGAGCGGGCCTTTTACATCCTCTTTACAATCCAATGTATAAAACAGTGAACTGGGGTATAAAAGGGCAAGACAAATTACATTAATTTAAAAGACATTCATAGGAACTGGAAAAAGTCGTATCTTATTCATTTTGAACCTAAAAGAAAGAAACCACTTGGTTAAACATGCTATAAAACAGCTATCGAATCAACGCCAAATGATTTCATTGATTTGATTGATTTCGGCGGTGAAATCGATGAATTTTATGCTAGTTCGACAAGCTGATTGTCTCAACAACTGCTAAATACAACACATTTATTGTCATTAACAATGTTTATTTCCATTTATGACGCTCTTGGTCCATTACAGAAAATATTTTTGTTCATATCTATATGAAACAACGTTTTTTGAAACTATATTGAAACTTATATATTATACTTATATAAAGACAAGCAGAATCTGTCAACAATAAATATATAATAGTTCAGGGGCCGGTTGTATAAAACTCTTTAAATTTCAATTACCACTACATATAAACAATCAGTTATGAGTTATATTGTAGACAATTTAAAATATTCAACTATTGATACTAATAACTATTGTACATTATTAAAATAATGGATCAGTCAAACCCTAATCTCACAACTTCCAGAAAGATTTAATTTGTCAAGTAGCTTCAGGAAACATGTTAACAAGTTGTTGAATTGCATGAGGATGATAAGTTGTGAGAACAATATTGCTGCACACCTGTAAAACTTGTCAGTTGATGAGCTGGGAACAGACAATTTGTGTACATCATGTTCATAATTTGTTGGAACATTGCTACACAGGGCTATATGCAGCAAGGGGGCAGCTGCCCCCTAGAGTATGTTCAACTTATGAATTTTGTACTGTGCCATGTTGCTCTTTTTCCTCAAATTGCTCTTTCCCTACCCATGGAGCATCACTGCCTCCCTAGCTCAAAATCCTCCAAACAGGCCTGTTGCTACAAGTCTGCTGTATGTTATAGGTCATACAATTTGAATTTGATACCAAGCATTGGGCATTACCTTGTGTTTGATAAATTAACCCTAATTAGTTTACCATATATAATAGGAGTTTCAAGATCCTTTGCCACAATTTCAGGTAATAATATGGATAGTATGTACTGGTTAAGGGAAAGTATGTAAAATAGCTATTTCTCCATGTTATACACTTACACCTCAAATAGAAAACCAAAAATCAATCAGTGGAAGTCAATTACTGGTGATTTTTATTGAGATTGGTTATTAGCTAATCATGTTTCAATTGACCTGTTTCAGCTCTGATACTATACTTTGGCTCATTTACTAGTGTCATTTTCTTTATTTAACCAACAAAGGCAATACCATAACCAACACAGTTTTTTGTTAGAAAGGTTCTCTTACACAAACTCTGTTTTAATAATGCCATCAATGAAAAAATTCATGTACATGAATGAATTTGATTGGGGATTGTAGCAGTATGCATGCCAAGTATAGTATACTGTTAGCCTATAATCATATCAAAGGGAAACACGGACTTTGATAGTCTATGGTCTAATGTATTAGGATACATGAAGGATTGCCATATTTTTATATTATATATGAATTTTGGATTTTGCAAAGCATTTATAAAACTAAAATAATATTGAACTGTTGGGAGTTGGCTCTTTTTGCCTGAATAATTGAAATAATGTTTTTCAAAGCATGACAACAATCCTTGCTGAGGATCATCAGTGATGACTTATCTTGGCACTGCTAATATATGTTCAGGTCCTATTATTAGACCATTCCCCACTCGTTAATCCCTAACTGAATTTGCACCTGCCTTTACAACCCATAACAGTGTTTAATGTGGAAATTACGATAACGATTGTTTCTGGCCATACGGCAGAAACATTGTTTCTCTTCGCTTTAACAAAGTCCAATAAAGGTGGCAAAAGTTAATATATCCGAGCTTTTTCCAAACCCCGTCAGCAGGACGGCGATTACATCTCTTCCATTAATAATATGACGAATAGCGTCTTTCTGTTCCTTTTTTAATGTATATGGTATATCGTATTTATTGTCACAAATAATATTGTGCGCAAACACAATTCGATCTAAATATTAATATATGAATAAGATATTATGGTTTGATTAAAGGAATTTATATACTACGATTAACTTTATAATTAGCTCCATTTTTTCTAAAACGAATCCACCAATTTTGAACAAATTCAACTCGGTGCCTGGGATTCTTAGTTTGACGAAACGGCCCTTGTGGAACTTCTGGTGTTGAGCGACCAAGTAATATGTCGTTTGGACTGATGTCTGAAATCTGCCATGAATTGGGTTTTCAAATTTTGAGCCATCTTTTTGCAGAATACACACTTGCGTTTGACTGATTTTGCCAAATCGTTAGCCTTTATGATCCAGTACTTTCTTCGTGTCTTAGCTGTTGTTGCAGCAACGCCATTGTGACCAAATTGATGTGCCTTTCGAACAATCAACAGTGATATCCAATGTGAATTGGGTAACAGAACTGGATGCTTTGTATCATAGGAAACATCTGCTTTAGATACTCTTCCACCAACTCTCAGAACGTTGTTTTCATCTCGGAATGGAGTCAAGGACTTAAATTCCCCCTTTGTTACACGATTAACAAGACTTTTCTGTGCTTCTTTGATCCAAAACAGCTCGGACTCTTGCAATTATTGGACCGATAAGGATGTCTGATTTGGTACACTCTGATCTTCATTTTGACTTGCTTGCTCTTTCTGCTTTCTGCACTTCTTGATGAACCTTCGTGCGTACGCTGTGACTCTAATCAATCTTCGCCAACTTGAAAATTTCTTCACATTCATTACATCTTCAGCTTTCATAGATACGACATTTAAAACATTCTTTACTTTGCGTTGCTCTTTTTCCATTTCTGGTTGTTCTTTATTCGTGTTCAATACCTCTTCGGGCCATTGTTCTTCTGGTAGTTGTAAAAATGATGGACCATGTTCCCATCGACCATTTAACTCTGAAGCTGCTACCCCACGAGAAACATCGTCAGCTACGTTAAGTTAACAATTAATGTGTCTACATTCAGCAGGATCGGAATTACTCTGTATTTCTCCCACTCTCGACGACACGAATGGTTTGTAATTTCGAGCGTGACTACGGACCCAAGCCAAAACAATCTGATTATCTGTAAAGTAGATGATTCTTTCAAATTGAAATCTCGATTCTTCTCTCTCTTGCTTGTTTCTTCATCCAGTGTCTTATTCGATATCCACTCCTTCACGCAGAACCCTCCAGTTTTCAAAATCTTGTCGATGTCCTCAGTTTGTTTCCGAGCTTGCTGTATAGTATCGAGTGAATCACATAGGTCATCCATATATGAGTTGGCCTTGATCGCTTTTGCCGCTTGTGGATACAACTCTTGATTCTCTACAGCTGTTTTCTGGAGTGCGATCTGAGCCATAGCTGGCGCCGGTTTATCCCCAAACATCAATACGGTCTTCACATAGGTGTCTGGCTCTCGATCTACTTTGAGGTCTCGCCATAAATACCGATGGACGTGTTGATCTTCAACTGGAATACGTACGCGATGATACATCTTTGATATGTCGCCACTGATCGCAACTTCATTCTCTCGAAAACGCAGAATCACCCCGAACAGGCCATTAAGCAGGTCAGGCCCTTTTCTCCAATAATCATTCAATCTGCTTCCTTTGTACACTGCGGACAAATTAAAAACAATTCTGACTGGCGTGCTTTTTTTCTCCGGTCGTATAACAGCATGGTGTGATATATAATGCACAGGACGTTCGTACTTTTCCATTTCTTCCGTGGATAGCTTTCGCGAGAATTTCATCTCTTCCATTTGAACCATCTGTTCCTGGTAGGCTTTGGCTTGGTCTGGGTTTGTTGCAAGACGGCGTTCTGTTGATTCGAGTCGCTTCAAAGCTTGCTGTCTGTTATCAGGTAACAATCTTGGGTCCTTTTTCCAGGGATACGCGATCATCCACTGACTTTTCAATCATTACCTTTTCTTCCCTTTCAATTTGACTTAGTTTATCCGCTTCGCAAGTGCACAGTTTAACGAGGACACCCATGCTTTCTGTTTGCCAAAACTCGGATATGTCGACTGGTGGTGTATACTTTACGTGGAGGACTTTTGCTGTTTCTCCTGGTGCTGATGCCCCTGATTTGTTGCCAAACAACACCCATCCTAATGGAGATTTTCTTGCGACGATGTGATCCTTTTGCTTTGTTGGACCAGTGTGTAACTGAGCGTGATCTATTCCGATTAAGAGATCAATTGGTCCCTTGTTTTTTCTTATTCTTTCTCCAGACAGGCCAAGTTGCTCTACGAGGCTAGCCGCGTCAATTCTACTGTTCTCGTAAGTAATTACTGGGATTCCGATTGCCTTTACCGAATATGTTCTTTTATCACTCACTGCGCTGACTGGGACGTTGTAAACGTTAGTGTGTATTTCTTCTTCCTGACCACCAACTTTCGTTATGGTAACCTAAATTTCCTTTCCCTTGAGTTTGAGGTTATCTGCAGTTTCTTGCCTGATCAGACTCACCTGGGCAGACTCACCTGGGCACCAGAATCGAAAAGTACGTTGCCGCGTTTACAAAGACTGTTCAAACCAAATATATCCGCTGTAGTAACTGGAAGCATAGCTTCTTCATTGTAACTGCAGTACTCTGCAGTTAGTCAAAATTATTTAAAATTCTAATTAGTTAGTTCGTCTGTGCTTATGGTCAGCGTTTATTCGCAAAAATACTATAAAAGGACATGTCAGCCATATTCTGGACAATATATTTAGAAAACTTTCTGGCAGTATAAGTGGAATTTTAAGACATTTAATGCGATTCTTGAATTAGGGATATGTCAAAGGAGTTACGGTTGTTATCTATTTTTATGTAATATTGAATAACAACGCGTAAATAAAGCGATTTGTTAAGAGAGAGCGTGTGCGACTTAAGGATCTGCTACAATAACAACCTACAATGTGACATGAAAAACAACTGAAGTCGCGAAAATCTTGATGATGGCTACGAATGTTGAACCCTACGAAGGACATGAAGTGCAAGGGGTTACAGCAGACTCGAGAGAAGAACCTAGAAGTAGAACTTTGACAGAGAAAGGTCAGCAGTATCAGTTGAATATCACGATCAAGAATTTGAAAGCTAAGAGAGTCGAACTTATTAAACAAGTAAGATCTACCTTGTTATTGAGAGGGCAGAGCGAGCACGAGTGTGTTATGAAGCAACAGCTCAGTGTAGCACAAGTGTTACTCGGTGAATTTCATGACATTTTTAATGAGTTAAAAGAGATTGCTATTACCGAGGGAGATATGCACGAAGCACTTCGTATTAAAGAGCAAACTGTTCGAGAGTGGGTTGATTTTGAAAGTGATATTAAAGCTGAAATTAAATACTTAGAGCATTTCAGGCTTGAACAGCAAAAATTGGAAGTAGGTTCGCGGGTTTCATCAAGGTCTAGAAGATCGAACCTTGTCAGTACAAGGACAAATCGAAGTAGTGCTACCAAGAGGTCAAATTGGTCTAGTTCTCATACCAGTGAAAGACTGCAATTAGAGCAAAAGCAAGCTGCACTTAGAGTTAAATTAACCTTCCTGGACGAGGAAACGAAGTTGAAATCTGAAGAACGCAAAGCAGAGTTAATGAAGTCCGCACTTAAGGAGAAGTTGGAACCTTTGCAACTGGAAAGTGAAATTGCACAAAATCAAGCAAAGTTAAATGTTTGCTCACTGAATGGGGATGAGATTAGTTTGGAGCAGGATTTATCCTTTGTTCCAAAACCTTCAAAAGATAAAGATATGAAAAGGTTTCTTGATTCGGTGTCTCCAAAGGTCGGTGTAAATGATGATGATGATCAGAGTGTGGCTCGTGAAAACCGTGTTGGGGAACAAGGCCAGGGTGGTGTAGAGCAAGTTGAAATAGACCGTTTCAACTACTGTATGTCAGCAAAGACCCTAGCAAACAAAAGGCAGCAGAGACTCCAGCAAACAACGATAGAGCAAACACCTGAGGCGTCTCACATCCGTGAAGCATTTCATTTACCTGAAGCATCCAGTCTACATGAACAACCCCGCCATTATGAAGCACCTCGCATGCAGGAAATTCCCCATTCGCTCAAACCCTCCCAAAGACCCGAAGTATCTCATGTGCCTGAAGATCACCATGAATCTGGAATGTCTAATGTGCCTCGAACGTCGTACAACTTGTTAGAAAAATGTATGGACAGGCTTGTTGATGTGAACACCAGATTAGCTACTGCTACGCTGGAGCAGAATGACATGAATCGGAACTTTGCAATGACAAGAGACCTCCCAAATATTGCTATCCCAATGTTTAATGGAGATCCACTGCAGTACCCAATATGGAAGAGTTCATTTGAAGCATTTATTGACTCGAAGCCAATGGATGCACAAGCAAAGCTTAACTTTCTAAGTCAGTATGTCACAGGAAAACCAAAGAATGTGGTGGAACATTTTCTTTTGATAGGCACTGAAGTCGCATATAAGTCAGCTAAAGCACTTCTTCATGAACGTTATGGAAATAGCAATGTTGTCAGTTTCATTTCATTAGTAAGTTCATCTTTTTGGAGCTACCAGTTCACCAGGTTGTGCAAACTTTGGTTTAAGACGAGCTGCCGATGACGGTGAAGAAGAATTTGGTGCTAAAGCTGCAGAGTTTATTAGAAAGGATTTTTATGTAGATGATGGAGTCAAGTCAGAGCCAACAGCCAAGGAAGCGATCTCTTTGATCAAAGCTAGTCAAGATATTTGCGCTAAAGCCGGATTAAAGTTGCACAAGATTATGTCCAATAGTAAAGAAGTGCTTAAAGCTTTTCCTGTGGAAGAAAGAGCCAAAGGTGTTAAAGATTTAAACTTGAACTTTGACTCCCTACCAATTGAAAGAGCATTGGGTATAAAATGGTGTGTGGAAAATGATAGTTTCGAGTTTAGAATCGTCCTTCAAGATCGGCCTTTAACGCGACGTGGTATTCTCTCTACTGTGGGTTCGATTTACGATCCTAATGGTTACTTGGCACCAGTTACGTTAAAAGGGAAGCAAATTTTACAGCGAATGTGTCGTGAAAAGCTAGATTGCGACGATCCAGTGTCAGATGAACTACGTGCACAGTGGGAAAAGTGGCAACAAGGAATTCTATGTGTGGAAAAGTTCCAAGTACAGCGGTGTTTCAAACCACAGAATTTTGGTGATGTGAAGTTAACAGAGTTGCATCATTTCTCGGATGCTAGTTTGGAAGGATACGGACAATGTTCGTACATCCGATTGGTAAATGAAGATGATAAAGTTCATGTTTCTTTCGTCATTGGAAAAGCAAGAGTTACCCCAATCAAACAGATGACGGTGCTCAGGTTAGAACTTATGGCCGCAACAGTGTCTGCTAGAATGAGTAAGTTTTTGCGAGAGGAATTGCCCTACCATGAGATCCAAGAACATTTCTGGACAGATAGTAAGATAATCCTTGGTTACATCAACAATGACGCTAAGCGATTTCATACTTATGTCGCTAATCGAGTGCAAGAAATCCGAGATATTACCGAGCCCTCGCTATGGGAGTATGTTGAAACGAAAGAAAACCCTGCAGATGATGCATCACGCGGATTAGAGTTTAAGGATCTTGTGAATGGATCGAGATGGCTGAATGGCCCAAGCTTTCTTTGGGAAGCTGATTCTTTAGAGCCTCAAACAAATGAAAGATTTTGTGTTAGCGAGACAGATCCGGAGGTCAAGAAAGTTGTTGTGAATAAGGTGTGTGGTTACACTTTGGGCGAGAGTACCTGGAACATTGATCAACTAAATCATGTGTCAAGCTGGTATCGTGCTCGAAAGGCTATAGCTTTATGTATACGATTGAAGGCAAAATTCAAGAACAGGGATCTCAAACACAACCCGTTAACTGAAAACAAGACCTTACACACAGCAAAATTAACTGTCTCGTTAAAGGAAATTCAAGAGTCTGAAACTGAAATTTTGAGAGCACTTCAACATAAGCATTTCAACGATGAAATCCGAGTTCTGGAATGTCTTAACGTTAAGGAAACGAATGTCCTAAGAAATGTAGCTCGAAAAAGAAAGGAACAGATTAAGAAGTACAGCTTACTCTATTGGCTAGATCCATTTTTAGACGAAAGTGGTTTGATTCGTATCGGTGGTCGTATTAAACAAGCGAACTTTCCCTTGAGATTGACACACCCAGTTGTAATACCACGGAAGAGTCATATAACTAATATTTTGATTCAGGATTGCCATTTAAAGGTCAGTCACATGGGTAGAGGCACCACACACAACGAATTAAGGCAATGAGGCTATTGGTTAATTGGAGGGACGTCTGCCGTTTCGAACATTATAGCAAAGTGTGTGATCTGTAAACGTCGCCGTGGACATCTTCAATACCAGAAGATGGCTGAATTACCAGTTGACCGCCTTCAACCTTCACCGCCGTTTTCGTACTGTGCGGTTAATTTCTTTGGGCCGTTCTATATTAAAGAAAGAAGGAGCAAAGTAAAGCGCCTATGGTGTCCTCTTTACTTGCTTGGCTAGTCGAAGTGTTCACCTGGAAACAGCTAATTCACTCAACACATCCTCTTTTATTAATGCATTGAGCCGGTTTCTTAACCGACGTGGTCCTGTGAGACAGTTAAGATGTGATCAAGGCACAAATTTCGTAGGAGCTCGAAATGAATTAAAAGAAAGTTTGAAAGAAATGGATCAAAATCGTATACATGAGTATATGGTTCAAAATGGAACTGAATGGATACCATTTCAATGGAATGTCCCACACTCCAGTCATATGGGTGGGATTTGGGAACGCATGATTAGGACTGTGCGTAGTGCACTCAAGACCTTACTTATTTTCTCTGGGGACCAGTTGGATGACAAAGCTTTTAGGACATTCACGACAGAGGTGGAATGTTTTGTAAATTCTCGACCTCTTACGGTCAACGGACTTAG